CATGTTATAGAAAACTTAAGCCAGTTACAATTATGCAACATACATAACACATACTTGGGTAGCAACAACATCATTCGACAATACTTGAGTCTCTGGTATACTTTCAACAATGTTGAGGTAATCATATGTAAGGGCATCGGCCATGAAAGTAGATAAAAAAAACTGTTCATTTTCTCGCTCTATTGATGATTTTTTCCTAAAAAGTAGCATAATACAGTAATAATCAAGTTGATATTATTATAAACTTCAAATAAATAAATAATGTTTTAGAAACAAATATCATGTAAGAATAGGTGTATAACTCATACCAATTCTTTGTTTTCGTAATTTTTTATTTTTAACCCTACGTACAATTTCTTCAACCTTTGATTGGTTTCTTCTGCATGGAGGATGACCTTTATTGCGAACTGCCTGTGGACTAATAATTAGACTATTCCCGTCTTTGGGAGGATTGTCTCCATCTTTACTACTCAAACTGATTGTGGAAGAGACGTTTACTTTTCTACCAAGCCCTCCCTCACTTTCCTTCTGCTCCAACTTTTTTCTCATGTCAATCATAAATTCCATTAACAGATTACAATCTTCTTCATTGTTTGATGCCATATCAGCTACTATCAGCATTACATTAGACAATTTATCAAAACATTGTCCTTCGACGTTGGTGCTCCACCTATTATAACTTACCTTAATTTTCGTATGGCATCTGTTTATATTTTTCCTCCAACGCCGTAAAATGTACTTATCTAGAACGTGTAAAACCCTTTTATGAATCAACACAATAATAGAATAGCTACATAAATTCCCTCTACACTCAAACAAATGACAAGTACAATGAATATCACACGAACATTCTTCAAAGTATACCACAAAGGGAACACGCTGATTACTATCTCCAAACCAAACATCTTCTAAAACTTGATACTCCTCATATGAATCACACTTTTTCAGAAAAGATAATTCACAATAAATCTTCCCCACAATCTTCTTGAAACTCTTTAAACTTTGTAGTTGTGTATGCACTTTGAAATTGTTTCTCAACAGGGTAATTAGTTATGCATGGTATCAAAGATTTGAAAGATCTAAAATCAATCTCCCTTTCTTTTTCCACTTTATCCCGCAATGAATTATTATATTGTTCCACAAATTGTTTCAACGTTGTTTTAGAATTTACATAATCATAAAAAAAATGTATGCATACTTTCACTACGTTGGGTAATAGACATACCTATTTAAAAAGTATCTTTAAGAAATGCAGGCACCCAATGTACTATTTCTTTGTACAATCCACATAACCATTCATTCTCGTGAAGGTTGTGCACATCAATGAATTTGTTCCATCGTTCTTCAAACTCTTCACGTGTAAAAGAATCATACACAATATTTTGTAACTGAAACTTTATAGTTTTATATTCCTTATACCCTCTTAACTTTTCAGGCAATTTTTTTATTATATGTCACAAACACCACCTATGTCTTACACTGGGGAAAACAATCTCAATTTCATTTTGCATGGCCTTATCTTGATCAGTGATAATTTTATTAAGAGCAAAATCCATGCATTCAAGCCAAGAACGAAATAGTCATACAAATGTCCTAGTGTCCTCATGGGAAATTAACACACAACCTAACAATGTTGAATGTCTATGATAATCAACCCCCACAAAAGCAGCAAATGGCATATCATACTTGTTGGTTAGATACGTTGTGTCAAAAGTCACAACATCACCAAATTCTTTACATATAGCATCAACCCATAACACATTATGTAATCGACTCTCTTCATCTATATCAATCATGTACTAGAAATTTAAATTCTCCTTTTGCATTTTTATAAAATACCCGAGTATTGTCGAAGCATCTCTAACTCTAAATTGTAGCCTTCTAACCTTTTCAATTTAGTTCCTACAATCTTTTTATTGAAATGTCAAATTCTCTACATCTCCTGCCTCAACTAAACATGACTGAAAATTTTTTACACGGTCTAATCTCAGCCACATCATTAACTTCAAGACTCTTTTTCACATAAAGTTGTATTGTTCGGTTTACATTGAAATATCTTATTTTCGTTGGACTTGTAAGATCATGATTATGTTCAAGTACAACTAATTTAATTTTTAATTTGCATTCACCATTCAAAGCTACACTAATCCTACTCTTACAATTTGTTTTAGCAATAGGTTGATTTTTCAAGGTATTTCTAGATTTACATCTCTCCTTCCCAGAACAAGAACATGCCACTATCACATATCTCATCTCCCCATCATCTCCTTTCTTTGACGTACATATCATTGCTTCAAAACCCATTTTTTTACTCTATCTTTTGTAATACTTCACCAGACTATCAATTGAATCAAACACCAGTCCAATATGAGGCTTTACTTCTTCCTCCGCACATCCCATATCTTCTAATTTATCACATTTATTTTCTTGATCATTTAATAATTTTATAATGGACAAAATTAGAATATACTAATACAACACATCATAAGAAACAATAAGATATAATAAATTTAAAATCATGTTAACAAAAAAGTTAAGGTTTTGAACACAATTTACCTCAACATCATTGAAATGAGACAAATGGACTCTTCTATATTTCGTAGTTTCATGCAAAACCAATACTAGTTTTCGCGCTCATGAATCTGGTTCACAATTGTCGCCAACAAATATTGTCTATCAGTTATTTTCTATTGTAACATATATTCAATCCAAAATAGAATACAAAACTAAATAAATGCATAAATTAAATAAAAAACTCTTAAGTACCTCAACAAATCTTTCTAATCTCAAAAAAGTTTGATCTCCCTAACTCCCTTTCCACCTTAAACGATTCTTTCATAAAAAATTGATGGCTTTCTTTCTTGTCACGGTAGCTACTTGTTGTGGCTGTTGAGGAAGAAACCGGCAATACCATGTAGAAGACTAACCAAAACACACAGGCGAGAAGAAAAGATGGGAACGATGAAGCGAAACGTATTAGCTTTAACAATGAAGCTTTTTTTTTTTTTTTTTCATCTAAAAATTTTGGCACTTATTTTGGAGAAGCATATTAGACAAGCTAATCTTTTTTATAAATTGAAAAAAATATGTAAATTAAAAAAACATTATTTGTGTATCATTTAATGTGGATACCCGTCCGTATAATATGGACGGGCGTCCATTATTATAATGTGATTTAAAGAACAACTTCAAACTCAAATTTAAGATGACCAAAAGAACAAAACATGTATAAAATTAGCTTAAAAACCAGAGTTAAAGACCAACAGAAATCACAATCCCTCCATGTGGACAATGTGATTTGAAGACCAACAGTTATATAAGGTAAACATGAAATACTCCCAATGGAACTAAGCTAATGAATAAAAAGGACAGCCATTAGAAAACACAGAAAAAAACCATAAAATGCAATTGGACAGAGAAGCTCTCACCTGGTTTGCTTCTGCATACAGATAAAGTAAGACAAAGGAAAAATAATGCGTGTGATTGTCTGGACCAACACAACCCAACGTCCATCAAGCTCTCACCTGGTTTGCTTCTGCATATGTCAATTAAATAGCTCTTCTTCCTTTCGCGTTTGTGCATCTTTATCTTTCTTCCATGACTTTCTTGGTTGGACCAACCTAACCCGCTTCAAAGGTTTCATCCGGGTAACTCATCCCTTTTTTTTTTTTTTTTTTTTTTTTTAGCTGTTTGGATTACTAAAGGACCAAACGGATCAAGCATGGATGGCATTGAAGAGCTAGATGAGGAAGAAGAGTTTGAAGAGAAGATTTTAATGTTTTATAAAACACTAATCATGGACGCCATCCATGATTATTGTTTTATAAATTTCATATTTTAAACTATGGATGGAGATCCATTCTAGGTGGACACCTATCCATAGTAAATGGACTCTTGTACATAAATATGGACGAGAATCCATTGTTATTTTCGCATGAACGGGAGTCTATTTAAAATGAACGACCGTCTAATAATCATAGATGCTTGTCCATATTTGATAGACAACCGTTCATTCACGGAATAGTTGTTAATGTGTTATGCAGTTGCGTTTGACTTAGGTGACATGTCGATCGATGTAAAAATTTGGTGTAAACCTTCAGTGTCCGTAGCATTATTGAAAGTGTGATATCTTAGCTTGATCGGAACTCAAGTTAATTACCATATTGTTGCCTGAGAAATATGTTATCAAGAAAACTTTAATGCTGATGTTCTTTTTGTGCTACTTTTTTATTCACTTATTTCTTTAAATAATCACAAAAGAATCCTTATATAATTAACTTGAAAAATATGAGGTGTTTTATTTATTTATTTATTTATTGGTTCAAACATTGGCCGAAAAAATATTTCATTAATTTGTGTTGCATTTAAAAAAAAATATCAAAACTTATTTAATATAATATTTAAATATTATTTTAGGACTAAACAACTAAAATTGGTTGTATAGTTAAAATCACATAAAATAAGAAGAGAAAAATCGTTTTTTTTTTTTTTTTCTAAATTTTCCAAAAATACTAAAAGTTAAACTATTTTCATTAGAAAACAAGTAATTTTATATAAATTCAAAACTAAATTGACTAACGAGGATTTGCAGCAAATCAATATTTTAATTAATAAAAGTGCAAATGGTTCTAATATGCTCTATCGAGTTCGAGTCTCTACGATTGTTAATAAAGGTGGTCATTAGAATTTATACTCAGTCGGTAGTTTCAAGGTCTCGAGAGATTAATTGAAGTACACGTAAACTGGCTCAGACACCCCCAATTATTAGAAAGAAAAAAAATGCAAAAGAATAAGCTAATTTTATTCTTCCATTCTTTTATTTATTTATTTTTTTGCCCTTTAAACTCAAAGTTACCGATGATAAATAATAAATATTTTTCTTTTTTTTTTTTTGGTAGCATTTTAAGTTTGCTAATTCTTATTTACCAAAGAAAAAAAAAAATTGAAGGCAAGATAAAAATAAGAAATAATAATAAAATTAAAGACACGTAATAAACATAGAGTGAAATAACTGGAGAGAACTGAAGCCAAAGCCCTAAAACAGTAACAGAGAACCCACTTCAACTCTTGGTGTCAATTTCAGGTAATAAAATCTTCAATGGTTCAAAACCCATGTGTATGAAGAGTCCCTTCAGACTACTCTTACTTTATATCAACTTGTTTCGTTTATTTGGAATTGAAGAAATCTTGTACCGTTGTAATTAATAGACGGTGGTTTTTTATTTGCTCAGTTTATAACAACATGGCAAGATCGTTGTCCAACTTTATCTTGAAGGGAATCGCAGGTTACCCAGTTGGGCCTTCTTCTAGACTTGTAAGAATAAAGATTCTATCGTTCGTTTAAGATTTGAGTTGGGTAGAAAATGAATGAAGTATTATGAGTTCACTTGTTATAAGATTGAATTTTTTGGTAATTGATTATCAGAATTTGATTACTAGGGATTTTGGTCCGTTTATGTTTCCAAAATACATGGGAGTTTGTTTGTATTGGCTGAAATCAGAATTTATAGTTTTGGTGTGGTTGAAGGGTGTGTGTGGGAGTACTTTTAATGCCACCAAAAGCACTTCTAAATATGCGAAAGTTTTGTGTGTGTGTGTGTGTGTTCTTGTTTAGTTTGGATCATCTGGCTGAAATCAGAGGTGCTTTTCACAAAGCATTTTCTACAAAAGCGCTCTCTAATATGCACGATGTTAGAAATTTTTAATTTCATTATTTCTCTTGTTCTAGGTCAGAAATAATTGCTGAAATCATGGGTCCTTTCCCACAAAGCGTTTTCTACAAAAGCACTATCTAATATGCATTATGTTAGAAATTTTTATTTCATTATTTTTCTTGTTGTAGCTCTGAATTAATTGCTTCTCTGGGTGTTAGGTTGGGTAAATTCTGCGTTTACTTTAGTTGAATTATGAATCTGAATGGTGCCAACTTAGCTAAGTGATAAATATGTTTTTGAAGTCATGGAGTGTTATCATGTATATCACTGTCAGACATGAAGTGTTTTGCCCAGTGTATTATTGCTGTCGAAACAATAACATATTTTCATGGTTTTGCATTTAATTGTTAGTAGTTATCTGGATCCTTTTACCACAATGGAATGAAGTACTCTACTTCTGTGCCCAATGATCCTGACACACATGAAGATTTTAGACCTACTAATAAGGTTGAGAGCTCTGGCCTTTCTTTAAAGGATGCTGTTGAAAAGGTTAATTTTTCCTCTGAATCTTCTTTGTGTTTTGCTTTGTTGGCTAAAATTATTATTATTAGTATTATTTTCTATATTAAATTTCTATGAAAATTGTGCATTCAGTAATTGGGATTAGATTCTTGCTGTAGGATGTCAAAGAAAACCCTGTGATGATTTATATGAAAGGGATTCCTGAGATTCCTCAATGTGGATTCAGCTCACTGGCTGTGAGAGTTCTGCATCTATACAGTAGGTGCTCTAGCCTAATGACTTGAGTTTTATAATTGTTTATCCATTTCCTGTTTAAGTTTCTTCAGTTGCCAGTGTTGGAAATATTTTCTATAAAACAACATATTGACTTGCTATGAAAGAGGGCAGAAGACATCACATTGGTTTTTTTTTGGGAATGCACTTACACTCTTATTCTAACTGTGCTTAAGGATTCAAGATAAACTCTTCAGTCATATGTGAAATTCAAATACATTAAATGTTTGTTTTTTATGTGGCTGTGAATGTTACACATATCACCAGCTTTTTGAAAAGGGCAGTCATCTTATTAGCTCAATGTACAGTACTCGAAAGAAATGCATATTTTAAATTGCCTCAGAGCTAGGATTACAACCAAGTTAAATTATTAGTCAAGATGGCCAATCATATTTTATATAAAATTTTTGTCTTCATAGTATTTGTCTTTCCTTCTAGATAGAAAGATCAGTTGCATCTCAGTACAAGAGAATGGTTCTGTAAGATCAATTTGCGGACAGTTTTAACTAAGTTGATAGAGGGTTATTGAGCTTCTTAAGTGATATTGCTTGCACAAGTCTTTCCAAAACTAAGAACGAGTGATCACTGGAGCTTTATATACATGACTTTTTGCAGATAGTTTAGTTTCTTTCTTAACTTTGTTTATGAAAAGATTTCTTTATATTTAGGCCTTCAATTGCTATACTTGACGTTTTTGGTACCTCTATATCAGATATAATTTTTTCTATTTTGGATGCAATAATCAAATAGTTTGTAATAGAATTGCTGTGCAGGACCAAATTGGTCTTCAGGAATTGTCAATTATACAGGATATTCGGTTATTAATAAAAGTTCAACATTACCCTAGTGGCCTCTGCATATTGTTTTTATCTCAATGGGATTTGTTGATTTCTCTAGTATATATATTGCTGCTTACAGTATTTTTACTCATGGTTGGGGCCTGTACAGATGTTCCTTTAAGTGCTAGAAATATTTTGGAGGATGCTGAGCTTAAAGACGCTGTAAAAGCCTTCAGGTGAGTTATTAGTGGACAGGATTTAACTCTAATGTTAAATATGGTCTTGAAAAAGCTCTAAAAAGGCATAAATTTTTTGTTGGTGCAAAAATGCTTGTATTTTTTAGTGTTATGAGATGTTATCAAACTGCAGTGGTAACATGCAACATAGGGTGCCTTTTTAGTTCAATTTCAAGACTATATTAATGTTCTTTTACCAATTTTACTAGAGGGAAAAAATTTACTTGTTGCTAGCACAAATTTGATGCCTCTGCTTAAGATTTTAATCATGCTTTTTATAGTTGATTTGTCATGGATTGTTTCTGATAGTTCTAGATACTTACTGCCTTGGGTTTTTTCCTTCAAATTTTAATTTTATTGACAATAGAGTCCGTTAATTTTTTTTCCAGATATACATATGTTTCCCATGATAGATATGTAGAATTTCTTCTTACATGTGGTTTAATTTTTTTTTTGTTAGCTGTGTCCATATGTAAATTTGTACAGGCTGTTTTTTGTTTTGATGCAAGGCCTGCCTTTTTTGTGCTGCTGGTCTGCTGTTTTAGGCCTCTGTGAGTTTAGCTCGCTGGTTGTCAGGATTTTAAATGCCGTTTTTTTTTTTGTTTCTGTTGTGTTTTGTTTGGTTCCTGGAAATGTCCAGGACGCATAAACTCTTGTAGAGACTCTCTTTTTGGGGTCTCATTCTTTCATTCTTTATACTATTTCCATTTACCCAAAAAAAGATTTTTGAGGACAACAATCAACATGTATGACATTCTCGTTATTCCAATCCCAGATTGTACTTGTTTTATAAAAATCTCTTATTTCTTTCTATGCAGCAACTGGCCTACATTTCCCCAGATTTTTATTAAGGGAGAGTTTATTGGAGGTTCAGATATAATTCTCAATATGCACCAGGTATAGGATTATTATTTTATATTTATTGAACATAATTTGTACCTTTCCATGAAAGTGCAACTTTGTTGCTCTAATACCATGGTCTATCCCATGTAGACTGGCGAGCTGAAAGAGAAGCTCAAAGATGTTTCGGCGGACAAGAAATCAGAATGAATTGCTGCTGTTGAATGCAAAGAGTTGGGATAGACTTATTAGGTGTTTACTATTCTCCGGTGTTACTGCGAAAAAATGATGAGATATTAGTGTTCTTTTTTGCTAAGTTTCTTGTCCCATGAGATAAGCTTGGGATTGTTTGCTTACTCCTTGTAGTTGATTTTAATCTATTTGTACTGTTGGCCTCAAAATAAATTAGTTACCAAAACAGTCTTGAGGACTGGTTTCCAGTTAAGAAATCCATATTCTTGTTTTATGACGAGAGAAAAATTTCAACATGGACATTGATTATTTAGCAATACCTATCCATAAGACTAATGTTTCCATAGCAAAATAGTTTCAAAGGCGTTTAAAGAGTCTTGAATTAATAACCAACTTGGCGTGAAACTCGACAAAGTTGATGGGTCTCGGATTGACTGGTTTAACCTGGTCAAACTGAGTAACAAAAATTTTAAAATTCAGCAAATACACTCCTCAAAATCACAGTTAAGTTTTTACATATTTGAAATTTAGCAAACAAACTCTAAATACAAATCGGTAGTCGACTGGTTGGTGGCAACGACAAATCAAATACAATCTCAATCATCCATGGAGCCAATTCCCTAGAAAATCTATCCAAGATTTGGTCAAAATCATTTCAATTATGGCTAGATTTTACCGACGCCAACGTCAACATTCCAAGCCAAATCTCACTAACACTAGCGTTGACAACCCTATCTATCACCACGAAAACACTCCCCTCTCCCTTAGCCTTGTGACCAAAACTCCTCTCAACCTACCCCCGTTCGCCTAGCCAATCACTGACAAAAGCCAATTGTTGTCGCCACTGTTTTAAAAACCGGACCGGATCGGCCGGTCCAACCGGTTGGACCGTGAACCGGTCACTTGTCCAGTTTGGTTCACTCTCAAAACCATTATATGCATTGAACCGTTTTAAACCGGTTAAAAACCGGATGATATCAGTAAACCGTCGGTCCAACTGGACCGGCAGAAAAACGGTCCACATATTAACAATCCCTAAATCCTAAACGCGACGCATTCTCACGCCCCTTTCTCGTCTTCTTCAATCTTCAGTTCTTCTCTTTCAATCTTCAGTTCTTCTCTTTCAATCTTTCTCCGTTTTTCTCAAGAAAATTTCTAAGCAAACACTCTGTTCTCTACGAAAATTGTCACGGTTTCGGCTCTGTCTTCTGTTCTCTCTGAAATCCCACCCAAATCGCATTTGAACTCTCTGAAATCGACAATGTCTTCCTCCCTCGCCGGAAATCAACGACGACAGCTCCGTTCCTTGCTGGAAATCGACAGCGATAGCTTCATTCGTTGATGATAGCTCCATTCCTCGATCTAGGTACGCCATTCCTCGCTCCCTTTACATTTAAGTTAACACCCTTTACATTTTTCAATCTAAAGGCAAACCATAGCTAGAAAGTGTACAACTATCGGGTTTTTAAGTCTGAAATTGTTAGGGTTCTTGTGTGTTGAATGAACAATTGATTTGGGGCTTTTGGCTGGGGTCTTTCTCATTGTAATCTGGGCAGATTTGTGAGAGGGTTGCATTTCCTTCTTGAGGCTAGGATAGGTCTTTGATTTCTTGCAGGTTATAGAGAGTTATTGAGTGATTAGGCTTGGGTTAAAGCATTGCTCTGTTTCGGCAGATTGAGTGTGTAATTCTTGGTGTTTGATTTCTTTGAATCTTGTTTGTGTTGGATTGATTTATGTGTTGGATTGACGGGTTAATTAAAAATAAAAGTTAAATAAATTTATTTTAAAAAGTGGCACAGGTTCAATCCAAGCGATTCTGGTTTTATTTGTGATCATGCACAAACGTTGTATTCGTGCATCATTTGCTTTTTAAGTAGCAAACTCTCTCCCCTNGGTTTTTTAGTATGAAATTGTTAGGGTTCTTGTGTGTTGAATGAGCAATTGATTTGGGGCTTTTTGCTGGGGTCTTTCTCGTTGTAATCTAGGCAGATTTGTGAGAGGGTTGCATTTCCTTCTTGAGGCTAGGATAGGTCTCTGATTTCTTGCAGGTTATAGAGAGTTATTGAGTGATTAGGCTTGGGTTAAAGCATTGTTCTGTTTCGGCAGATTGAGTGTGTAATTCTTGGTGTTTGATTTCTTTGAATCTTGTTTGTGTTGGATTGATTTATGTCTTGCATTGACAGGTTAATTAAAAATAAAAGTTAAATAAATTTATTTTAAAAAGTGGCACAGGTTCAATCCAAGCGATTTTGGTTTTATTTGTGATCATGCACAAACATTGTATTCGTACATCATTTGCTTTTTAAGTAGCAAACTCTCTCCCCTGAACTTGACAAAATGGTGATGGTTTTTCTCTCATCTTTGTGATTGCATTTCTTTATTTCAATCAAAAAGGTAATATTAATCATTTTACATGTTAATTTCTTTTCTTATTTGATGTTGCTAAAACATTGCTGCCTGTTGGGATGATATAAACCCATTGCCAAGTTACAAGATTTAGTTTTTTTATTTGATCTGAAAAACTTATCAAATCAAATAAAAAATATAAATCTTGACATTCTTGCAAGGTGCTTTTTCCATCAATGGTATCTTCTAATCTTTTAGAACCCTTCTATTTTCATTGCTTTTAAATCTTCCCAACTGTCAACTGTAGTCAATTGTATTCTATTATTTAATGCTTGATAAAATCTCTTTTACTATATTTCTTTATTTTGCTTCAGTCCTTTGACTATTGTGCTTCATCTTTATCAATATATTTCAGCTATTACATATTCACTTAGTTCTGTTGGTTACAATCTTGGAATTGTGAGTGTTTAATTTACTGGATGTGTGATTAAAACCCAGGTCTGTATCATTGTCCAAGTATTAATGAAGGCTATACCCGGAATGACTTTGGATAATGCAGTTAATATCATGTAAAGAACACACTACAATGGATTGTCTGTTGTGATTATTTGTTCTCAAACGGATGCAGAGGATCATTGCATGCAACTAAGAGGCAATGGGCTACTGAGTTCTATTGAACCTGCAAGTGGTGGTGGTTGCTGAAGATGCAGCCCTAGTGAAAAATCCCCTGGGTTTATTCTTCCCACAAAGTCATATAAATCTGTATCAACAGTTCAGTCTAATATTTTATTTTTGATTTTATTTGTAATAGGTTTTTTGTGTAATTTGTTTTGGAGTTTATTGTGTGTAAGCACAATGTTGATTTTGTTATAAGGTTTGGAGTAGCTAGCCAATATTATAACATTATAGCAAACATGGATTTGGACTTTGAATTGTTATTAAATACTTAAATTATGTTAGGATTGTTGTTGAATTTGAACTTTGAATCATATTGGACAGTAATTAAGTTGTTATTGTCTTATTGAAAAATAGAAATCTAAAAAAAAAATTGTTTTTTTAAAAATGTGCTGACGTCATCATGATGTGTGATGATGTCACCGGTCCAATCAGCGGTCCAACCGGTTGGACTGGTTGAACCGTGACCCGACCATCAAAGCGGTTTGCCCTCTGGTCTGGTTTTTAAAACAATGCTTGCTACCTTGGTTTGTCAACTTAAGCATATAACAGTATGCTTCTAATATTGCGTCCGGGTGTTCAGTTCCGGGTACCCTGCATTTTTTTAAGAAACCGGAACCGGAACCGACGATTCCTTGAAATTGGAACCAGAACCAGAATCGGAACCGTTACTTGTGGTAACGGTTCTGGTTCTGNTGGTTAAGATAGGACAACAAAATCATTGAAAAAAACACACAGATCTCATAAATCTTTTTTTGTTTTCAAAATGTAAGTTGAATTAAATTATCATATGATTTTCTGAAAAATTCAGTTGGATTATATGTTATATAAACATAAGATGTGATGAAATGAGATCTGCAATTTGTGACATAAAGCAGAAAAATAAGCAGCTCACCACTTGCACAAACGTGAGTAGCACTGAGATTCAGAAAAATAATAATGACTTCAATTAGTCAAATTTAGAATATACATAATTTATATTTGTCTTGCAGTTATTGGTAGTAGGATCATATATTTGCATTAAGTTAGATAGTAAGAATATTTATAAGAAATCTTATGAAACTTCGTAAAAAGAAAAATCTGAGCCACTATAATCAATTTTAACAAATCATAAAAGATTACAGCAAATAAGAAACCCTGTTAAGTCATTTCAGAATCAGAAATGACCACATTTTTCTATATGTTTAATCACACAGAGGGATCAAAATCAAAGTCCAGGAACAAAACTGACCACAACCTGAATTCTTTGCTTATTTTTTTTTTTTTTACCATGTCATGGACCTCATGTTCAAGAAGACAAATTGAACTCAACAGAACTGCAATATATATTATCATTGAACCCACCCCACCAAGTCAAACAATTGGGTTGGGTCATGAGTCTTTCATGTGCTTAGATAGAACTCTCATTGGAAAACCAGTTTATCAAGGAAGGGTACTCAAAACCCTTATAAACCACATGCTCACCCATTTTTCCTCTTAATGTGGGATCCTAATATACCACCACACTTCCACAATCAACATCCACGTTGGCCTCTTCACCTCCATTGGCCTCTTTACCTCTTGGCTGACTACGCGGATCCTCTTTCTCGCGGGCCTCCATGCCCTTTCTCAGAGAAGCATCTCAAGCCCAAGGTTAGCTTGCCACATATGTGACATCCACATGGGTGCAAGATCATGCTCTTGATACCATTTGATAGGAACTCATTCCCAAATTGATAGAAATTAGGTTGAACAATGGGCTTTGAGTTGGATAGTGGTCATTTTGTGAGCTTGAGAGTAGAACTCTCATTGAAAAACCGACTTATTAAGGGAAGGTATCCAAAGCCTTTATAACCCACATGTCCACCTTTTTTCCTTCCAATGTGGGATCTTAACATTCTACCATGCTTTCGCAACCGACTTACACGTCGGTCTTTTTACCTCTATCGACCTCTTTACCCTTTGGGTGACTACGCGAACCCCCTTTCCCTCGAGCCTCCATGCCCTTTTTCGGGGCAGTAGCCTGAGCCCAAGGTTAGCTTGTCACAAGTTAGTCTACCATGTAGGCGACTCCCATGGGTGCAGG